AATTAATTTCATTGAAATAGGTAATGAAATATCCGCCCGTTCAATAAGAAAGAAAGATACCGAACCGTGTAATATCAATAAACCGATCGGGGATTGTCCTTTTCCCTATCTCTGATTCCTTTTTTTTATTCTCATTTTTTTTTTTTTTTTTTTTTTTGCTTAAAGGAAGAATAAAAATTTAAATTTATTTTTATATATACTCGAATTTTTATTCTCTATATTGGTGTATTTTTTAATTTTTTCTTTGAGAAATTTTTATTTTTGTAAATGGATATTTTTTTTTATTAATATACAATTTTTTTGATTTTTATAGTGGAAAAAAAAATTTATTCAAATAAATATTTTATTTGAATAATTTTTAATTGAATTAAATATAGAAGTGGATTATAATTTCTGTATTTGAAACGAATAAGAAAAATTTTGATATACCTCTTCTTTGTATTAACACAATTTTTTTTGGATATATATATATATATATATATATATATAAATATTTATTAAACGTTTGGATTGATTTTAATAAATTTTTTCTAACGAAGAAATAATTTGATTGAACACCGAACTATTTGTTGATGTTACCAAAAGTTTGGTATAGCAATAGCACATTTATTTGTTTGATTCAACCAAAACCGCATATACGAAAAGAAATGAATTGTTCGCCTCTGGAATTAAATTTTGTTTGATCAACTACAACAAAATTTTGTTTCTTAAAACAAATTTCTATTGTTAAAGAATATTGTTAGTATAACTAAGAAATTTGTTACCACAACAATTCACGATTTTTTTGTAGCAAAAAATTTATTACAATTTTTCTCTATGGCATTTGAATTTAAACAATTCTGAATTTTTCTTTAAAAAACAGTGTTTTTTTTTTATATTTAATGGTTGCATTGTTACATTCTCTTATCATCATACCTACAGGCTTGAGGAATCTTTTGTAGATTTCATGAAATCGTGCAAATTTGATAAAGAATGAAAATTGCATTTTTTAAAAGGGTTCCTTTCTCTTTCTCTCTCTCTCTCTCTCTCGGCTCATCGTGCCTCCGAAATATTTTCTATAGTACTATATATATATATTTGAGATTTTGTGCCGCCATGGCAAAGACGAGGGAATCTTTGGTAGCGCCGCGTTATAACGCTCGATAGCGACGCGAGCCGATAAAGCGCCGGCGCTGGCGCCGCCGCCTTCCTTCGCAACCCATTGGTGCAGATTTCCTATCAGAGAACCCCTCGACGTTCGTGAGACACTCGTCGTTACCCTGGAAACCTGCCAACGGCTTCCTGGCGTTTCTACCTTCGCTCCGTCCTTCCATCCATCCATTTCTGTACCTCTTCTCTTTTTTTTTTGTTTCTTTTTTCCATTCCCCTTCTACCACTCACTCTCTCTCTCTTTGTCTTGCCCCAGTACCGTATAACCAATAGAAAATCTTATTTCTTCAAAAATCCTCGTTGATCTTCAAAATTTATCTAATCAAGATTCTTTTATTGAATTTTACATAATTCTATTGCAATTTGGTTTTTTTTTTTGGTTGTTAATCAATGGTGGTTACCATCAATGGTGGCAGTAAACCATTGGTTTGAATTACTGGTAGTTACGATTAATGGTAGTTTTAATATATGGTAGATAAAACCGTTAGTAGTTGGAATTACTGGTAGTTACAATCAGTGGTAGTAGAAACCAGTAGTTAAAGTTACCAGAAATTATAATTACTGGTAGTTACAAATACTGGTAGTTGTAAATACTGGTAGTTACAAATACTGGTAGTTACGAATACTAGTAGTTACGATAAACAGTAGTTTTAATATATAGTAGCTCAAACCATTAATAGTTGCAATTACTACTGGTTACAATTAATGGTAGCTAAGACTAGTAATAGTTACAATTAATGGTAGTTGTAATATATGGTAACCAAAACTATTAATACAACTATTATTTGATACAACTTTTAATAGTTACAACTTTCTAGTTACAATCAATATGGTAACTGAAAGCATTAATAGTAAAAATTACTGGTAGTTACAATGAATGGTAACAGTTAATAGTAGTTTCAAAATTTGATAATAGCAAGCAATGGTAGTTTCAAAAGTTAATAACAACACTCAATGGTAGTTTCAAAAGTTAATAACAACACTCAATGGTAGTTTCAATAGTTGATAACAACACTCAATGGTAGTTTCAAAAGTTAATAACAACACTCAATGGTAGTTTCAATAGTTGATAACAACACTCAATGGTATAGTTTCAATAATTGGTTTCAACATTTAATAGTAGTTTCTATAATTAGTAACAACACTCGATAGTAGTTTCAACATTTGGTAATAATAAGCCATGGTAATTTCAATAATTGGTAGCAACAATTAATTATTGTTTCAATAATTGGTAATTACAATGAATGGTAGCTGTAACTATTAGTAGTTTTATCCGTTGGTAGTAGTAACCATTGGTTGTAGTAACCTTTGGTAGTTGTAACCATTGGTAGTAGTAACCATTGGTAGTAGTAACAAGTGGTAGTTGTAACCATTGGTAGTAGTAACCATTGGTAGTAGTAACCGCATTGGTAGTAGTAACCATTGGTTGTAGTAACCGCATTGGTAGTAGTAACCATTGGTTGTAGTAACCTTTGGTAGTTGTAACCATTGGTTGTAGTAACCTTTGGTAGTTGTAACCATTGGTAGTAGTTACCATTGGTAGTAGTAACAAGTGGTAGTTGTAACCATTGGTAGTAGTAACCATTGGTTGTAGTAACCTTTGGTAGTTGTAACCTTTGGTAGTTGTAACCTTTGGTAGTTGTAACCATTGGTAGTTGCAACCATTGGTAGTAGTAACAAGTGGTAGTTGTAACCATTGGTAGTTGTAACCATTGGTAGTTGTAACCATTGGTAGTAGTAACTATTGGTAACAGTGAAGATTGATAGTTTTAACCATTGGTAGTTGTATGGATTGGTAGTTGTAACCATTGGTAATCGTAGCCATTAGTAATTATAAACAATTAGTTCATTTCTCTAAAATTTGAGATACAATCATTTTTTTCTTTTATTTATTTATTTTTTTTTTAAGAGAGAACTTTTGTGCCTTGAAAAGTGAATCAAAAATTCTCTTTATAAGTCTCGCGCCGCATCATCTCTAATTTGAAAACTCTGTTACACATACTCGTTATATTCTCTGTCACAAATTCTCCTTAACTTTTTGTGTCCCTCTCTCTTTTTCTCTCTTATTTTTTTCTCCTTTTTTTTCTCCTTTCTTTCTTGCAAATTTTTCTTTCTTTAGATTGGTTATTGCCCTCATTTTATTATTGAATATTACTTTAAAAAAATCATCATATTATAGAAAAAGTGTCTCAGCGAATTAAATTCTTCTAAATTCTCTATTATCTAATCCTATACAATAATTGTGATATAATAATTTGCCAATAATTTTATAATAATTTTTCTCGCGCTAATTTTAAATACTCTGTCACAATTCAATAAAATTTATTAATACACACACATACTTTCGGTATTTAATCGGTAATCTTCATTAAAAGCTTTTCTATTTGATATGCGCGGTTATTTGCGATATTTATATAAATGGTTTTTAAATAAAACAATTCTGTTTATATGGAAAATTGAAGGATATATTGTCTTTTTTTTTTATTTCTTTTTCTTTTCTTCTAAAGTGTATAATAAAACAAAAAATATAATTTCACTTCTTGTCGGTATAAAAATTATAATCAATGAGAAGATAAATAAGAATAGTATGGAATTTTTAAAATAGATGTTTTTATTTTAAACTCGTTTAATGATGGTTTCAACTTGTCTAATGCGTCAAAGCTGATATAAAATATATCGATATATATATATATATATATCGAGGTGAAAAATAATAATGAACAATTTATTCATATTTGGTAATTTTATTTTCACATCAATCTTTAACATACACTGAATTATAGTTTATTTGAATTTTATTTTAATCATATATTGTCAATTTTATTTGTCGTCTTACTGTGTCTTTAACTTCATTTATTTTTATATTTTTAGCAATTGAAAATTATATAATTAAATATAATAATTTTTCTACACTATTAACAAAAATATTTAATAAAAAAAAATATAAAAGAGAGTTTGTAAAAATGATTCTTAAGAGGAAAATAATTCTTTCAATTTTTTTGTATTTAATTTATTTGAAATAAAAAAAAAATAATTTATAATAATTTTTTTTTATATAAACAATTCAATGTTAAATTTCTGTTGAAGTGTTTCCAATTTTTTTTTCTTTTTTTTTTTTTTTTTTGTCCACTATAGAACCGACACACAGCTGTTTGATATGCAGCCGGTGCGCGGCTTGACTGACGCTTGAAGTTACGAATAAAAATTTTATGAAATTCTATTAGCCACAGTTTTCGTCGACGTTCTTGCCGAGAAGCTTGGAAAAAGCCTTTCATGAATGAGCCACGAGGGAGCCAAAAAATACGTACACAAAATAACAATATGCTTTGAAAAAAAAAAAGAAATTCCCTATAGATTTTTAATTTAATAATAATTGGGGGAAAAATTTGATTTTTTTTTTTTTGAATTTTATTTAAAAAAAAAAGAAAAATTAATTTTTCAAATTTAATTTTTTACTATATACGAGACAAGAGAGAGAGAGAGAGATAGAGAGAGATAGAACAAGAATTCCCTCAAAGGAAGGACTTAGAAACTCAAACTCTGATTATAATCCGAAAAGCCAGACCTAAACCTTTGTAACTGATTTCAAAGCGTCTTTGATACAAACACACTGTCTATTCATTTGAAATTATTATTTTTTATCAAATTAATATTATTTTCAAAAATTAAATTAAATTGCATTAAAAAATTAAATTTCGAATTTTTTTCTGTACGTTAAATTTTAATGTCTCTGTTAATTCGAATATAAAAATATATTTCCTTTAAGGAAGCAATGATTTGAAATTTTTTTTTTTTCTTCGAAAAAATATAGCAGACGAAAAATAAATTTTTTAAAAATAATTGTCACTTACTTGTACTCTACTTTCCGTTAGGCCGATCCTCATCGCAATTTCTTCTCTAAGAAAAATGTCAGGGTAATGCGTTTTACTAAAACACCTTTCCAATTCGTTAAGTTGAGCCGGTGTAAATCGTGTCCGATGTCGTTTTTGTTTTGTAGGTTTATCGTCACACATTGACGACCCAGTACCTGTTGATAATAAAAAACAAAAATTATTTTTAAAGAAAAATTAACTTGAAAAAAAATTTTCTATATAAGAAAAATTATAACCTTTACATTGATTTATAAACTATGAATGAATTTTTTTTTTTTTTTTTCATTCGAAAATAGAATTTTTTTTTCTCTCTAAAAAATTGAAAGTTATATATTTTAAAAATAAAACCTATTTTAAATTTCAATAACAAAAAAAAAATTTATATTTAAGTTTCATGAAACTTGTATTAAATTGAATTATATTTTTCTTTGAAAATAGAGTTTTTTTTTATCTCTGAGAAAAGTTATTTCTAAACTGAAAACTATTTATTTTAGTTTTTACATTATAAATACAATTTATTAAAATTATAAATGCAAATTTTTCCCGTTATTCTCAAAATATGTTTCTTTAAATAAAAGAAATTTTTATGTTTTATTGTCTCAATTAAAATGGAAAAGAAAAAACAATTTATCCAACTTTTTTTTTTAACTATAAAATTTTATTGTACCAAACAAAAAAAAAAAAATTTAATTTGTTTTTTGCAATTATCAATCATTTATTAAATAATAAAATTTCTTTTTTAATTTAACCCACCTGAACCAGGCATTGTCATAATTAATTCCTGATGAAGCGTCAATCCTCCGCCGGCAGATAGACCACCTAAATTCACGCCCAGGACACCGTCTAATTTCTCATGTCTTTTTAGGTCCTGTGCATGAAGGTCTTTTGAACCTAAATAACAAATTAAAAAAACAAAAAAAAATTGATGAAGAAAATTTTCTAAATAAATAATTTTTATATAATATTTCGATTATATATATATTATAATTTATAACGACGTTTATTATAATTATTATTTATTGTATTTTTATTATATAATTTTTTTTTCTGTATAATTAACATTTATTTTATAAACAAATAAATTATTAGTTTTGAAATAATTTATTTATAAATATTTTTTATTAATAATTAATAATAATCAAATAATAATCAAATAATAATAAAATAATAATAATAATAATAATAATAATAATAATAATAATAGGTAATAATAAAATAATAATTAGAATAATAAAAATAATTATAATGGAAAATAATATAATACAGGGAAAAGAAGATTTACCTGGAACAGCGAAATGTTTCACTTAGCAAAAATTTTACTTGTTTCAATTAAATCTTTCGCTATTCTAGTGAAATCTTTAGCTGTTTCAGGTAAAAAAAAAATTTTTTCCGCGTAATAGTCAAAAAATAATATATAATGATACAACAGTAAATGAAACATAAAAGTACTTTTTAATTTTCTGATATAAATAACCATCATTGTTAGAAGATTATACAAGAAGGCATATATATGAAAGTTGCATCGTCAAAGAAAAAAAAAAAAAAATCATATGTGGGAGTTTCTTGGCACTTTTTTTCTTGTCCCTGTGAGTTTTCTTTACTTTGGCATTTGTGGGAGTAAATATATATTTCGTATATATATACATATATATATGTATACACACCTATAATATATATATGTATATATATAAGAATCTTTGTGTTCACATATAAATATATATATATATATATATATATATATATATATATATATATATATATATATATATATATATATATATTTTCTTCGCCTAGAAGCGGAGGTCGTGACGATTCTCGCACCTTTGTGCTAAGTGAACCATACACCCCTCTCGCCACGCAGTCAACTGGCTTCTGCTACTTATACACTATACAAATTTAAAGTACCCAGAGCACGAAAAAAAAAGATATATGTCGGAGAAAGAGAAAAAGGGACCAAAAAAAAAGAGTGCCATGAACGAAGAAAGAATTAAAATAAAAATATTAAAAAAAAAAAAGAAAAAGAAAAAGTCCAAAGTGATTTTTTAATGAACCCACACGTCTTTCGTAATTGTTAGTTTTGTATCTAAATTAAATACTATTTAAATATACACTTAAGAAATGTGTGCTTCCAACTCCACAAAATTATTTTTTAAGACTCAATTTCTCACGTTCCATCGTGTATATTTGGTCCATTTGGAACGCTACGACCTGGTTTTTTTTTTGAATTCCAAAAATAACTGTTTTTTACAGATGAAATATTTGTCAAAATATTTTTTTTAAATTTAGAATTAAAAAAAAATATATTGTTTTTTGACAAAAATGATTGGCAAAAAAATTATTTTTTTTTGCAAATTAGAATTAAAATTAAAATTACTATTATTAATTGAATTATTATAATATTCCAAATTTACATAAAAATTAATCGCAAAGAAAAAAAAAACGATAGAAACAATTGAAAATTCCTTTAAAAAAAAGCTAATCTAGATAAAAAAAAAATCGGTACATTTTACAATGTTAAAATTTTTATTACATCTTTTAAAAGTTATACAATAAGAAAAAAATGAACATTCTAAGAATAGAATTTTTGAACAAAAAAAAAAATATTATGTTTATCTATGGTAAATATTGAGAACATATATATATATATATATATATATATATATATATATATATATATATATATATATATATATACCGTTTCTCTAGTAGTTCTAAACGACGATTAACGACCATTTCACAAGAGAATAAAAGATCATAAACAACGTTTTTAAATCAAGTTTTTCAACTCTTTGTATTATATACCTTTAGACAAATATAAAAATGATCCTCTTGGAAAAAAGGGACCACCATCGCTATATACACTCTCGAAATTTCACTCAATGGAGTGTATATATATGTATATATATTTTTTTTTTACGACAAGTATACGTTTTATTTTTACGAGTCATTGAGATGACTTTAAAATTTCACAAAAACAAAAAAACAAAATTTTATTGATGTAATCGCGGAATTTATGAATTGACATTTATATTGAAAAAAATCAGATTCCTTTGATGTTAAAAAATTCCCTCTTATTATTTTTTTTTTTACTCTTTTAATGAGAGAAATAATCATTGAAATTTAAAACGGGGGATTTCGAAAACAAAAAAAAAAATTGATGAAGGGGAAATATAATCGTGTACGCGATGGAAATGTATTCTCTGTTTTTCGCAAAAAACGACATTATATGGTTTTGTATGATAACATGCATTATACATATATATTTCTATATATAATGGTGTTTGTTATATGAACGCTCAGTTATCGTTTATTTTTGTTAATGCGCGCACGTGAAAATATAATCGCTCATTACGAGCGTCTCGCTATTTTATATGTACACGATTTCTAAATAATTTGATTTTAGGAGGAACAATAAAATGATATTTTCGCACGGTTCAATTGCGTAGCATATATATAAATATACGATTGCTACGATCAAGTATACATTTTAACAAAAATCATTGTTTCACATATGTTTATTTACGTGTCGATTAGCATAACAACGTACTGTTGATTTTATTTTTTTTTTGTTCACAAAAAAATAGTTTGTAAATTATAATAAACAATAAAAACATATTTATTCGCTATGACAGATAATAATTTATATATTATTAAATATAACAAACAATTGGAATACTATTAAATATAATAAACAATTGGAATATTAAAAAATATAATAAACAATTGAAATAATACAAAATATAATAAACAATTAGAATATCATTGTTTATAAAAATAATGATGGGAATATTATAAAATACAATTAACAGTTGGAATATTAAAAATAACAATCGGAATATTATAAAATATAATAAACAATTGGAATATCATTGATAATAAAAATAACAATGGGATAAATAAACGATTGGAATATTTTAAAATATAATAAACAATTGAAATATTACAAAATATAATAAACAATTGAAATAATACAAAATATAATAAACAATTAGAATATCATTGTTTATAAAAATAATGATGGGAATATTATAAAATACAATTAACAGTTGGAATATTAAAAATAACAATCGGAATATTATAAAATATAATAAACAATTGGAATATCATTGATAATAAAAATAACAAAGGGATAAATAAACGGTTGGAATATTTTAAAATATAATAAACAATTGAAATATTACAAAATATAATGAACAATTGGAATATTATAAAATATAATAAACAATTGGAATATTATTGATAATAAAAATAACAATGTGAAAAATAAACAATTGTAATATCATTGATAATAAAAATAACAATGGGAATATTATAAAATATAATAAATAATTAGAATATTAAAAATAACAATTGGAATATTATAAAATATAATAAACAATTTGAATATTATTGATAATAAAAATAACAATGTGAAAAATAAACAATTGTATAATATCATTGATAATAAAAATAACAATGGAAAAAATAAACAATTGGAATATTAAAAATAACAATTGGAATATTATAAAATATAATAAACAATTGGAATATTATTAAATGTAATAAACAATTAGAATATCATTTAGTATAATTAGCAATAAGTCCCGTAAATTGGAATATCATAAAATATAATAAACAATTGGAGTATAATTGAATATATAATAAACAATAAATAGAAAAGTATATAATAAACAATTGGAATATCTAAACAATTAATATATCGGGAACTACAACAATAACTGTATAGTTATAATAAACTGAAATATCGCGCACTAATTGTAAAAAACAATTGTAAACTAATTGTTAATAAACAATTGGAATATCAACAAATTATAATAAACGATTTGGAAAGTCATTAATGTAAATTTTTTTTTTTAATCATAACGAATTATAATAAACAATTGGAATAATATAACAAATTTTTTGGCACTAATTGCAATAAACACTTTTTAAAGTGTTCCACTAATTGTGATAAATAGCGTGTTGCAACATCACAAATTTATTTTAATAAACATAGATCATGGAATATCATAAATTATAAATTGTTAAAATTCTAATTGTTTATAACAAAATTATTATTTTTATAAACAAATTGACATTTCACGTTTATTATAATATATACAATTATAATAAATATGTTCCTATATAAATTTATAAATATTCATATAATAAACATTTAAAATTTAAATGGACAATTGTAATAAACAATAGAGTAATAATAATAATAATATAAATTAAAACATTACGGATTATTAACAAATTAAAATATAGTATAACAAAAATAATTGAAGTAACTTATAATTAACAGAATTTAACTTTTTTTTTATATTTTCTAAAAAAATATGCAGTAAATATTTATTTGTAATAATTTTTTAATTATATGAAACAATAAAATTAATCGCTACTTGGTAAAATTGGAATTAAATAAAAATCCAATTGACGTTTTTGAAGTACATATATATAATAAAATTCAGAACCCCTCTGTGACTGTATATATATATATACTCTCGGACGGCTCCCAACTCACTAATTCGTTCCTTAACTTCTCGCCTAATACAATCAGAGTTAAGATAATTAAGGCCATCAAGGCCGAGAGGTGGTTTCCTCTGAAGTAGGGAGGCCAAGTGCAAACGCACCACGTGTTGCTTGCACGTGTCGATTTTTAATTTCAAAAAAAAAAAAAAAAATTTTCGAAAAAAATGAATTAAACATATTTTCATTTGTTTCGTGTAACATTTATGTTATATTTTTAAGCGCTCTCTCTCTCTCTGTTTAGACAAAATTTGTTTCATTTTTTTAATTCTTTCTTTTCTTCAATAATTTTCATTTTTCTCGGTTCCTTTTCTCAAAAATCTGAATTTAATTTTGCAATTAGAAATAAAAATTTGATATTATTTTTGAGAATATATACGATTTTATTTTTAACATATTTTTTTTATTTTCAATTTATTAATTTACTATCGATTAGATATTTAATATTAATCAAGTGTATATATGTGTGCTATATATATGAATATTTAAAAAAAATATAACAACCATTGAACGAACAATAAATCAATGATATAAGCAAATATAGATATAATAAAAAAAAAACTACAAATTATTGAATTAGAATTTTTATTATTTATTTATTAAAAAAATAATATTTAAAAAAGAAAATAATTTTTTTTACACAAAAAGATATGAGACAAATTCTCGCACTAATTTAAATTTATAGAGTAATAAAAATTTTTTGTATAGTTTACAATTTTTTAAATTGTTAGAATAATTTAAAAATTAATTTATTTGCATATGTAAATTGCATTTAAGGCAACATAGATGTTTTATTAATTATTGTATTTTTCATATTTTATTCTAAAAAGGTTTTTGTCACTGAACTAAAAAAAAACAATATTAAATAAAGTGAATAAAATTTAGTAAAAAATTAACATTTTTAACAGAAATTAAAGAATTTAATTAAAATTAGCGACTAATTAAAATTTTTTTAACTGTACCTAATTAAAATTAGAAACTTTTATTAAAATAAAAAAATTTTTAATTTTTTAAAAATGTAATTAAAATTCGAAAAAATACAAACAAATTTTAAATAAAAAAAAAATTTATTTAAACTATTAGATTATAATTAAATAATTTGAATGCAAAAAATTTAATTTGTAAACAAAGAAAATAGTAAAAAAAAAAATCGTATTAGGAAAAATAGTCCAAATATCGCTAAATATAATTGAAAAGTATAATTGTATATAATTATTTTTCCCTTATTTTCTTAATTATATTATTCAAACCGTTTAATTGCATTAAACCTAATTACACCGTATATTAATAATCAAATAACACTTAATTTTCTTCATAAAAAAAAAAAAATCTTTTTCACTTCTTTAATTCTATACCAGTTATTAATTAATTCCCCGCAAAAAACGTGTAAAAATCACAATTCACAAAGATCCGTCGCTTAAAAAAAAAAAATGCACTCGCCAAAAATTCACAAAAATATACCTATAATTTTTTATTTATTTTTCTTCCGCACCAAAAAAAAATAAATAAATAAATCACTATTTTTTCCAGCATTTTTTTTTTTCTCTTTCTCGCAATCATTATCATCATCATCAGCATCATTATCACTTACCGGAAATACCATGAATGGATCCGCCGGCGGAGATATTGTTGAGCATTCCTCCCCAGGAGCTAAGCTCCTGTGTAACTTCCTGTTTATCGCAGCTTCGAAATTTAAAATCTTTTTCAAATTTTCGCAAAATTTTTGCTATTTTATTTTAACACAAAAAAATGAAAAAATTGTTTGTGTATGTGTGTGTATTTATGTAAAAAATAAAAAAAAAAAAAAACCTCCCTCTCTTTTTTTTTTTTTTGTATATAACTGGGCCGCGGAAAATTAAAAAAAAAATAACCAAATCCTTTTTTTTTTTTGAAATATTAATAATAAACGGCGTCACAGTTATACCGGCCCGCGCCTCGCGAAGGCATACAGCAAACTAGTTGGCTGCCATATCCAAAATCCCCCACCATGACGATTTTCCGTCAACTCCCCCACCCCTCTTTTGTTTCACTCCATTGCCTCCACCTCGGAAACTCCACCACTTCTCTACTCGGGGGGCGTGATATTAAATCGCCTTCTATACCTGGGGTTTGGCTCTTTTCAGGAGCGTATCTTTATTATGCGAAAATTTTTTTTAAATTTTTACAATAAAAAATATTTTTTGAAGAGAGAGAGAGAGAGAGAAATTATTAAAAAATTAATTTACCTTAAATTGTTTTTTAACAGTTTTACTGTTTGTTCATAATATTCTGTTTTGTTTGAGAGAAAAAAAAGGAAAATTTTTTTTTAACAAACTCAAAAATTGGAATATTGCATTTAAATTTAAATTTTCTACATGTATATATATATATATATATATATATATATATATATATATATATACATATATATAATGGGAATAATGTTGTTAAAATTCTAATTTAATTTCATTCAATTGACACACGTGGATTTTATTTTCATTTGTGTTTAATTTACAAATAATTTTTGCATAACGTAAATTTTATTTTTCTGAAAGAACATTTTAATGAAACAGAAAATTATTATTATTATTATTATTATTATTATTATTATTAGGTATTATTATAATTATTATTATTAGGTATTATTATTATTATTATTATTTTTATTATTATTATTAGGTATTATTAAATATGAACAATTTAATTAATTATAAAAATATATATTAATTTTTACCATAAATAATTGTTTTTTAAAATTAATTTTTACCACAAATAATTGTTTTTTTTTTAAATTAATTTTAACCATTAATAATTGGTTTTTAAAATTAATTTTTACCGTAAATAATTTGTCTTTTTTTTATGTAATTAATTTTAACCGTAAATAATTTTCTTTAAATTAATTTAGAGCAGTCAAATCTGTAAAAATGAGACAAATGAAACGAAATTCTTTCGTATATATATAGAAATTTCCAAATATTTCTCAATTTTGCAAGTTCAAAAGAAGCTTTTTTTCTTATTATAACGGAGAAAAAAAAACTTGAGAGGAACTTGAACCTCTATAAGTGAGAATAATTATTTGTCTCACTTAGAGAGGTTCAAGTGAAACTTTTTATCGTAATATATATAAATATCCAGAAGAACTTACGTATATTTTTATACTTTTAAACATACCGAGAAGTGAAAAATTAATCTCAGCTTAAATTGAAAAAAAAAATTATCAAATTGAAAAAATAAGAGCTGTTGATAATTTTAATACTTTTTTTTACAATTTTTTTTTTTTTTTTTTGATATATTTACAAAAATAAAAAAATTTCTGTCCGTTTAGAATATTTTATCTGCGATGTTTATATTCATTTTTGTCGTGTATTTTCGCATTTTTACAATCTTCACAATCGTCATATCTTTGTGTAAATATGAGCAACAATCTCTTTAAATTTCTTTCAGTGCCTATAAACACGCTTGACTATGTATATATATGTAGACGTCATGAAATCGACTGAATAGTAGCGCGAGAATCACCTCAACGAGGATTATATTTCCACAGGGAATGGCTCGCGCCAAGCTACATATATTTCAAAGTTCATGAGTAATTAATTTCCAAGAACGTAATGATCACCTCGTAATTCAGATAACTTTTCACTGCCAAACTTTTGGAAAATAAACCCTTATAGCAGATAAGCTTTATAAAAAATATTGCTGAATTTTAATTGTTTCCTTTTAATAACAAATAAAAATTATTCTATAAATAAAATAATTCCATTTCCATGGAATAATTATAAATTAATTTTATATGGAATAATTTTTATTGCTATTCCTTCTAAAGCGAGATGTAATTGAAGATGCTATCGAACCTCTTTAAGTGAGACATAAGTTTTGGTATGCACGATTCACTTGAACCTACAGGTACATTTAAATGCTAAAGAAGTTACTCTCGAACCTCTGGAAGTGAGAAAAATTATTTTTGAACTCCTGTAAGTGAGATAAATACACACTTGAACCTCTATAACTGAGACAGCCACCTCTATAAGCTAAAGAAGTTACTCTCGAACCTCTGGAAGTGGGACAAATTATTTTTGATCTCCTGTAAGTGAGATAATACGCACCTGAACCTCTAAAAGTGGGATACATTCTTCGTCTCTAGGTGAGGAAATATTCTTTTGAACTTTTTTGAATCTTTTGAACCTAAAGAAAATGCTCTAAAACCTCCTGAAGTGAGACAAAGATCTTCTGGCTTCGCATATTGGAGAGAATAAAGTTGTACTTGAACTATAGAAATAAATATAATCTGTATTATTATAGAAATAACTGAGACAGGAACCTCTAAAAAGAATAATAAGTTACTGTCGAACCTCTCTAAGAGAGATAAATACTCACTTGAACCTCTAAAAGTGGGATAAATTTTTTTTTGAACATCTTCAAGTGAGAGGAGGTACTGTTGAACCATTATAAATTTCTTTTAGACCTTTTTAAACACCCTGCTTGAAGATATATATAAATCCCTCTTGAGAGAAGATGCTTTCGAACCTCCTTAAGTGAGACAAGGTCTTCTGCCTCCGCGAATAAATGAGAAAATGCTTTTCTTGAACCTGCAAAACTATATAAGACACATGTATTTTTTATAAGTCAGAAAAGTTACTCTCGAACCTCTCTGGAGTGAGAATTTCTTCTCGGAACAGTTTTTATCCCACTTATCCAGGTTCGACAGTATCGTCAATATTTTTTTGACAGTTTTTTTCGTATTCAAAAATTAAAAAAAATGAATATATATATATTAGAACCTAAGTATATAAATATAATTAGCGTGCGTATATAAGTTTCGTGTTTTTCAAATCCCACTTATACAGGTTTGATTGTATTGTCCAGTATTTTTTTTTTTTGACAGTTTTTCACGTATTTAAATAAAATAAATGGATATATATTAGAACCTATAAGTATATAAATATAATTAGCGTCTGTATAAGTTATCCGTATTTTTCAATTTCCACTTATACAGGTTCGACTGTATTGTCAATATTATGTTTCTGATTTTGCATTATTAATTTATGTACCGAATTTTTCTATAATCATCATGAAAACAAAAAAAAAAAGAAAGAAAATGAAATATATAAAATTAATTTGCGGCGTTCAAGAGGAACAGGATTTCGCGTTGGGCGAAATTCTTAATGAGTCTTAGCCACTCTCGGGACTGTGGATACATATATATATATATATATATATATATATATATATATATATATATATATATGGGAAAAATACCATATATATATACAGAATAGAAAGAAAATATGATGGAGCACAAGAAGTGAAACTCATCCTTCTCCAAGTCTCAGGAGGCATCAAAGGACTGTTCGAATCCCGAAGATCATGAAAGTAACTGATGATGGAAGTATCAGTACTAACAGAGGATGCTGTATATATCTCTCAACATATATATATATATATACAAAATGTAGAGAGAAGGAAGAACGTGGCTACAATGGAAAAGTCTGTTTCGATGTACACTGGTGTATTCATCGCTATCTCTATTTTGTGGGTAGGCGTAACCACCGTTGGTAGCAGCTCCAATGAGAGAGTTGCCCGCCCTCCCAATACCCCACCGAGGGTCCGCCGTTCCAGGAGATTTATTGAAATTTTATTTTTATGGTCGTCGAGCACGGATCTTCGCCACACCGGATGGTTGGTGGTGCGCCCCGGATATATATACATATATATATATATATATATATATATATATATATAAAAATGTGTGTGTATATATATGTGAGCCGACGACTTTGCTGAAGAGAAAAAGGAGGAAAAGTGAGCTGAACGTAGGGCGAGAGTAGTTAGACGATTTTACCCTCACACACATACATACACCTATAAGGACAGAAAACAACGCGCGTCCCGCTCCTCTTTTTTTTTTTGCCCTATCGTTTTATTCGCCACAGCCTTTTAATTCAATAGCAATTTTTTTGTTCACCCTCCACACGCCATATCAAACAAGGTGACTTGGTCATTTTCAAGGAAAATTTATCGAATTTTCACAAAATGGAATTGAATACATAATTATGGATGATAATGTTTTTTTTATGCAAAAGAAAAATTAGAGGAATTTTTGAACAAAAAAAAATCGATTAATTTTTCTACTCTTTTATCTATTATACATCGGAGAAAAATAGAAAAAACGAATATAGTAATTTTTACTATACTTTGAAAGTAAAATCTCCTTTCCGGAGTTTCTGGTAATTTTTACTCAGAGGATAGTAAAATTTACTATTTCTGGAATAATTTTTATTTTAGGAGTAAATTTGACTATTTTCGATAGTAAAAATTATACTAGATATGTGTAGAAACTCGACGATTTACTTTCAAAGTATAGTAAAAGTTACTTTATTCATTTTTCTATTTTTCTCAGTGTGTATTTGTAAATATTTTTTTTATATTTATAAAAATAAATAATAATTAAAAAAAAAAATGTAAAACTAGAGAAAATTATTGATTGATCAAAAGATTTTGTAATATATAAAAATACACGAAGAAAAATGGAAAAATGAATATAATAACTTTTACTATACTTTGAAAGTAAAATCTCCTGTCTGGAGTTTCTGGTAATTTTTACTTATAGAGAATAGTAAAATTTACTATATCTGGAATAATTTCTATTTTAGGAGTAAATTTTACTATATTTTCGGAGTAAAAATTATTCAGAAATGCTCAGAAACTCCAGAGAAGAATCGCAGGCAAAGAATCGGAACAAAATTTAATGTATTTTTCTATTTTTAAAGAAAATGATGATTTAAATTTCGAAAATGCTTTGTTAAATTTTTGAAATAATTTAATTTTTAACTAATAATAACAATAATTTTAATAATTTAATTTAATTAAGTCAATTTTAGGTTATGTTATCTAATTTAATTAAAAAAATTTTAATTTTGTTTTAATTATCATTTTTTTAATTGTTTAAAATTTTTTGAAAAATTATAAATTATTTAAAATTTCACTGAAGCATTTTTAAAATTGTAACCATATGTTTTTATTTAAAAATACTAAAATGACTAACTTTTTTGTTTCAATTTTTTCTCTGATTCTTCCTTAAATATATATATATATATATACATATATACAAATTAGCAACACGTCATCAATTTCCTTATTATTTGTTTATATTAAAATTTTCTGTAATTCAAAAGACCATTGAACCGCAATATCAAATTCATCTCACGATTATCTTTATAAAAGGATGTTCTTCATTAGTTATAAAATAAGACAAAAAAAAAAAAAACTTAAATATATCATCGGAAGTCTCTGACAATTTTTTTCTTTAATTTAATTATGGTACACGTCTTTATTTTTCTCGAAGAGAAAAATTTTATAAACATATACACGAAAATAATTAATACCACACAGAGAGCGAGAGAGAATAATTAACAATATTTTTCAGTCCAATAAAAAATGTCTAATTAATAATAATTATTATTAATTAAAAATTTTATTATTTTTAATTAATTAATTGTTATTATTAATTAATTATTATCATTATTATTATTACTAATTAATAATAAAAAATATAGTAATAATAATTTATAATTTTTGTGAAACTGTGAAAAAATATTGAATTTCCATTGCGCGCTTTTGAGGCATGAAAATAATATATGTCGAAAAAAAAAATCGCGTCTTTTGTATATATATTTTCTTGTCAGAAATAAGCGCGCGCGTTGTTTGTTTTTGTTGTTCACAACGAATAAAGGATTCCAAAGAGAAGAACGGGGAATGGAAGCTGTCGGAGAAATTTAATATTCTCAACATAAAAGGACCACTAGGAAGGTGCACTTCGACATTCTTTCACTAATTTGAAAATAATTTGTAGTACAGAAGCCAGAACATCGCGTCTTCCTTCCTCTTTTAAAATTCTCTTAATATATATATATATATTCAAAGAATAGGTATTATAAAAAAAGGATTCTTTATCGATTTTTCATTATTTTTATTTTCAATAAAAAAAATTTTACAATTATAAAAATTAGATAAAAAATAATTATTTAATTTCAAAAAAAAAAAGAAACGTAAAATGGAAAATAGAAATTTTTTTTTTGATGGAAAATATTGTGAATTTTAATTGGTGAAACCAATAGCGTCTATTGACTTAGTTACAATTACATATAAACCGTGTCACTTTCAATTAGAGATTGATAACGATAACGGTGGACATACAACACACAATCACCAAGAGTGAAAATGGACCTATCGCTATATATATATATATATATAGCGTTGGCAGTGCGCGCATTTCACGTACAAACACTAATTGGATCAAAGGTGATTAATGCCTCTATCACGTACAATTAATATTGGCGAAATATTTTATGGTGTCATCGAAATTGCGAGTTACTGCGTTTTCATCATAAATTGAGAATAAACCGGTTTACATGAGAACCTTTCTACAAATTGAAATTTTTTTCATTCAAAATAATATATATATATATATATATATATTTCTTTGTTATATTTTTTCCAAAAAAAAAAAAAAGTTTATTTTTTTTTTATAAAAACTGAACAAATTTATGTTTAAGAATAAATAAGTATAATTTTTAGAATATTTAAATGTAATTTATTATATTTTTTAATATTAATAATTAATACCTACTAGTAATTAATATATTAGTAATTAAATAATTTATGGAATTATTAGAATTCTAAATTTTTAATTAATTAAACATTTTTTACTTTCTTTTTTTAAACAGTTATAAAAATATAAAAGTTTACAAATTATATAAATAATTTTTTTTTTTTTTTTTGAAAATAAGTAAAACTGATTGATTCTTTTAATAAAAATGTAGTCTCGGTGCGTTACTATTTATATATATATACGAGAACGTGATCGATTTTAAACAGCGTAGACGAGTGGCATCAAATTGACAACATGTCGAATGCAGGAACCATTGCCTCTAGCTAAAACACTACCCTCGGCGATAATAAAGTTTACAAATCTATTTGAATATATATATATATATATATATATAACTGCTAAAGTGTGACTAAAGGGATTTTTTTCCTTGACTCGGCAAATTTCTCAGTAAATTTTTTGTTTGAATAAAAAAGAAATTATATTTTTATTGATTTAACTTAATTTTTAATATGTAGAATTAATAGAGAATTCCTATAATTTTACCGAATTTTTATTTAGACTTTAAAAATACTAATAAATAAATAATAAATACTAATAAAAATAGAAATTTTTTTTTAATAAAAGTTTGAAAAAAAAAAAAATTCTGCATTAAAAAACAAAAATTTATTTTATTCAAATAATCGATTAATTGACTGAATAAATATTTATTTGTTTAATTATAAATTTTATAGAAATTAAACTATTTAAAAAAAAAAAAACTAAAAATTTAAAAATCATTTTTTATAGATAAATTTAAATAAATATTCTAGTTAAAAATTTTTTTGTTTTTTACTAACACAGAAAATTAAAAGGCATTAAAATAAGCTGCAACGCTTATTATTTTAATCAAATTTTGCTTATTTTAATACCAAAATTGATTAAAATAAGCAAAATTGGATTAAAATAATAAGCGTTGCAGCTTATTTTAATACCTTTTAATTTTCTGTGAAATAGAAAATTTGTAATAAAAACAAAATAATTAAAATTAGAAATTGTAAATTAAAGTTGTATAATTTTTATAGTTAATTTTATTTGAATAAATATTTGTTTTTCAATATATAGTAATTAATATTATTATTATTATTATTATTATTATTATTATTATTATTATTATTATTATTATTATTATTATTTATATTATAATTAATATTTTTATGATGATTATTTTAATTATTTTTATTATTATTATTATTATTACTATTATTATTATTATTATTATTATTATTGTTATTATTTTCAGGGTCCTCGAAGACGAAATGGAAAAAGAAAATGGAGAGAGAGAGAGAGAGAGAGAGAGAGAGAGAGAGAGAGAGAGAGAGAGAGAGAGAGAGAGAGAGAGAGAGAGAGAGAGAGAGAGGCATCCTCGTGTGTGATATTCGACCGTTAATGTTCGCCTATGACAAGACACACAGAGCACACAGGTAGGAATTTCCATTATTACATACCAGAATCCGGAATGTTCATGTTACGATCCCTTGGGAACATTTTAGCATACGTGAAACATGTTTTCTAGCCCATATTCAACGTCAACATTTCTTATATACCTTATAACGCATATACGTGAAGAGTTCATTTTTGAATTTCCCATTTTCGTTATGCGTGAATTTTATCCAAAAATAGTCGAATCTTTAAAACGAAAATACCTGGAGAAAAATAATTTTTCAAAATTAGTTTCTTTTTTTTTGTTTATTAATAACAATCATAGAGTCTTAATTTTATAACGAAATTTCGATTTTTTTTAAAAAAAAATCAACTTTTCATTATAAAATTAATTTGAAAAAAAAAAGTTATTAAATAATTTTTTTTTTTTTTCTTGAATTAACAAAAAGCAAATATTAAATGATGAATGTTTTTTTTTTAATTTAAATATACTTAATTATATACTATATGTAAATTTTTTAAATATCGCGAGACAATAATATTAAGATCATCATTATTTTTCTTAATTGTCATGTCTGATTGAAATTGACTTTTTTTACTTATAAAAAAATGAACGATTCTTATTCTTGTAAGAGACTTTCTTTTATTAATACAATAAAAGAAAATCTTTTCTATTTTAAAATTAAGACACTTTTTTCCACATGTATATAATATAATTTTGGAAGCGAAAAAAAGAAGTATAATATTTATCAGACATTGTTCAATATAAACAATAATTGAAGATCAGAAGAATTATATTCTTTTTTTTCAATTAATTAATTTACTATGTCATACAATTAATTGGATATTATATATATATATATATATATATATTAAAAGTGAAAAAATAAAAATGATTCGCAAATTATTTATAAAAATACGACGTCTGGACAAATATTTCTATTTCTATATAATTATATAAAAATATTTATTTTGGAGTTTTTAAATGAATTCTCAGAAAATTCTTAAAAAAAAGAAAAATAATAAAAATCAATTGAAAAAATATATTATTTTCTTTTTTTTATTTATACGAAAAGTGGGAATATTAAAAACAAATAATTAATTTTGAATTTTTTTTTTTACTTTTGAAGTAAAAGGCTAGTTTTTCTTTTCAATTGTAAATAATGTCACTTGTGGCACAACTATAGGCTGCATGTTGAGATAGGTCGTTTCACAAGGATTTAGTGACTTCGTTAAGCTGTAAGCTTCATTCAATTTTCTCCAATTTGTGGCAATTTGTGCTTACAGCACCCACATATAGTCGCATACCACTTTCACGCGGTGATTTCGTCATCGATCGTATATATATATATATATATATATATATATATATATATATACATTTATTAATTTATTTACACGCTAAAAAAAACAAACACACATACAGTTGAATTTGAAAAAAAAATTATTTATTTAATTAATAATAAAAAATTATTCTACTATAATTATCGCACAATTAATAATGTAGTAGTAAGAGTCCATTTTAGTTAGACAGATTTTTTTTTATTTGATATTAATAGTAAAAGACATTAATTTCAATTGTTTGAAATTTTTTCAGTAGTACAAGTCAATATTTACTTCGACTTTTAATATTATTTTAAAACTTATTAGTAATTTAAAGAATCAGTAGCAAAAGTAAATTTTTGATCAGACTTTTTATATTTTTAATAGTAGATTAAATTGGTTTTAGTCAGACTTAATTTCTGAATTAGAAAATAAGTAGTAATAGTAAATATTTGGTAAGACTTTTTATTTTATTTTTTTAATTTTTATCAGTAGAACAAATCGGTTATAGTCAGACTTAATTTCTGAATTAGAAAATAAGTAGTAATAGTACATATTTGGTCAGACTTTTTATTTTATTTTTTTATTTTTATCAGTAGAACAAATCGGTTTTAGTCAGACATATTGACTGAATTAAAAAATAAGTAGTATAAATATAAATACTTAGACACAATTTTTTGTATTTCTATTAGTAGTTTAAATCGGTTATAGTCAGACATAAATTATAAATTAGAAAATCAGTAGTGAAAGTGAATATTTAGCCAAACATTTTTACTAATTTTTATTAGTAGATCAAATCGACTTTAGTCAGACATGATGAATTTTGTCAGTAGTACAAGTTAATATTTAGTATGACTTTTTATATTTTTTTAAAAACTATTAGTAGTGGATGTAAATATTTAGTAAGACTTCAGATATTTGTAATTTTTTTGTAATATTATTAGTAGATAAAATCGGTTTTAGTCAGCCATAATTGGTATATTTATAAATCAGTAGTAGAAGTAAATATTTAGTCAGACATGGTGATTTTTTTGTAATTTTATTAGTAGATAAAATATATTTTGGTCAGACATAATTGCTAATATGGAAAATCAGTAGTAAATGTAAATTTTTGGTCAGACTTTTTTTTGGTATTTTTATTAGTCGATGAAATAGGATATAATCGGACATAATTGCTGAATTAGAAAATCAGTAGTGAAAGTAAATTATTGGTCAGACTTTTTATTTTATTTTTGGTATTTTCATTAGTAAATTAAGTCGGTTTTAGTCAGACATAATAGCTTAATTTAAAAATCAGTAGTAGAAGTAAATATTGAGTCAGACATTGTAATTTTATTAGTAGAACAAATCGGTTTTAGCCAGTCATAATTACTAAACTGAAAAATCAGTAGTATAAGTAAATTTTTAGTTTTAGTCAAGACATAATTTCTAAATTGGAAAATCAGTAGTAAAAGTAAATATTTAGTAAGACTTTGTAATGTTTTGTGAAGATATTAGTAGATCAAATCGGTTTTAGTCAGACATAATTCCTAAATTGGAAAATTAGTAGTAAAAGTAAATATTTAGTCAGACTTTTTCAATTTTTTAAGTAGAAAAAGTCGGTTTTAGTCAGCCGAAACTTGTTCTTCTTTGCTTTTCCCTTACATCAAACATTTGAAAAATAGTTTTCTCCTTTTCCCTTATTAATCATAAAAATTTTCCTTAAGTATTTTGACTTTTTACAAAGGAAATGTAAAATTTTATCTCTAGTAAATCTACATTGTTTTTGCCTATATATATATATATATATATATATATATATATATTTGTGTTAAACTTTGTTGCACGAGTACTGTTTTGGCCCTTCTCTTTCTCTTCCTCCTCGACCCTGTGAAGTACTATTCTGAAAATTATTACATTCTAGCGGGGTGCAGAATATTAGCTCCGCACGTATGCTTTCATTAGTCGTTACGTTCGAGCATTTCAATATAGCGCGAAACCACCCTCTAGTCTCGTTCACAGGTCTATAATATCCACGGGGCACTTGCCGACTCTAGCGTGCTTCATTTAAACCCGACTAGAGTTCCAATCATATCTCACATTCCAGATTCGGTAACGAGAATTATACAACCCGAATATATGTGTCCATTGTTCATCCAAATTTCCAGGAATGTTTTGATTTCAGGAATGTTTTGAGATCAAAAATATTTTCCAAACCCAAGTTATATATATATATATATATATATATATATATATATATATATTTCGAATGTGGCAATGTACGTTTCAATATCTATTTTTTTGTCTTCGAAATTGAAATTTTTTTTTCTTTCACTTTTTAAAATTGTATTGAGAAAAAAATATATTCTCAATATAAGAGGCTAATGAATGTTAATAAGAAATTTTTTATACTGGAAAAAAAATTTATTTAATTAAAAAAAACGGTGTCTGACTAAAATCGATATTATCTACTAATAAGAATAAAAATAAATAAAAAGTCTGACAAAATATTTACTTATACTACTGATTTTCTAAATTAGCAATTATGTCTTAATAAAACCGATTTGATCTACTAATACCTTAACAAAAAATTACAAAGTCTGACTAAATATTTATTTTAACTACTAATAACATTATAAAAATATAGAAAGTTAAACTAAATATTGACCTTATTACAGAAACAAATACAAACGTTTAATGAAGTCTTTCAAAATATTTACATGTACTGCTGATAAAATTATTGAAAATTTACAAGTCTGACAAAATAATTACTTGTTCTACTGATAAAATTAATGGAATTTCAAGTCTCACTAAAAATTTACTTATACTACTGATTTTTTAGTTTAGTAATTATGACTGGCTAAAACCGATTTGTTCTACTAATAAAATTACAATGTCTGACTAAATATTTACTTCTACCACTGATTTTTTAATTAAGCTATTATGTCTAACTAAAACCGATTTAATTTACTAATAAAAATACCAAAAAAATAAATAAAAAGTCTGACCAATAATTTACTTTCACTACTGATTTTCTAATTTAGTTCTATCTGACTAAAATCAATTTTATCTACTAAATATTTACATCCACTACTAATAGTTTTTAAAAAAATATAAAAAGTCATACTAAATATTAACTTGTACTACTGAAAAAATGCATCATGTCTGACTAAAGCCGATTTGATCTACTAATAAAAATTAGTAAAAATGTTTGGCTAAATATTCACTTTCACTACTGATTTTCTAATTTATAATTTATGTCTGACTATAACCGATTTAAACTACTAATAGTAATACAAAAAATAGTGTCCAAGTATTTATATTTGTACTACTGATTTTTTATTTCAGTCAATATGTCTGACTAAAACCGATTTGTTCTACTGATAAAAAGAAAAAAATAAAATAAAAAAATAAAATAAAAAGTCTGACCAAAAATTTACTTTTACTACTGATTTTTTAAATTACTAATAAGTTCTAAAAAAAATGTTAAAAAAAATTTTAATATATAAAGTCTGACTTAATATTTACACTACTAATAGTTTTTAAAAAAATAAAAAAGTCGGACTAAATACTGACTTATACTACTGACAAAATTACAAACGATTCAAATTTTAAAAAAAATCAATTCAATTCAATTAAAAATTTTTCAATTACAAAAATTATTCTAATTTTTCTCTACTTTTTGTTTTGGTTTGTTTTTTTAAAACCTTTTAGAATTCCTTTTTTTTCTCTCTTTCTT